TGCTGCTGCTGCTGCTGCTGCTGCTGCTGAGTGTGCTGGTGCTGAGAGCACAGCATGCAGCTGCAGCAGCTTCCCTCGTTCATGCTCTTGTGGGTCTTGCTGCTGTGACTTGGCCTCAGCTCCTGGGGCCGCTGCTGCTTCTGCTGCTGCGCTGCTGCTGCTGCTGCTACATTCGCTGCTGCTACTGTCGCTGCTGCGCTTCCCGCTGCAGGCAGGAAAACTTCTCAGCGAGAGGCTTTTGCAGCTTGTCGCGACGGAGCTGCAGCGCAGCAGCAACAGCAGAAGGACCAGCAGCAGCAGCAGCAGCAGTAAGCTTGCAGCCGAGAGCAACGCTACGGCGGAAGTGCAGCAGCGCCAGACACTGCAGCAGCAGCACCAGCAGCAGCAGCACCATGACCAACAGCGGAAGGCAGCCGCTGCAGACAGCGCATCAACCATTCAGGTCTGCTGAACTGCTGCTGCTGCTGAGCTGCTGCTGCTGCTGCTGCTGTGCTGCTGCTCGTGCTTCTGCTGCATGTTGCTGCTGCCTTCGCGACCGTTTGTGCTGGCGTCGCAGTTGTCTTCGTTGCTGTGTTTGCTGCTGCTGCCGCCTGTTTGCTGCTGCAGCTGCTGCAGCAACAGCAGACGGTCAGGGCATCTGCAGAAGCTGCTGCTGTTGCCAAAGCTCTGCTGCACTTGCTTTGCTGCTGCTGCTGCTGCGATTAGGCCGTCTTCTCGCTGCTGCAAAAGTTGTCGCGGTGGAGGCGGCAGCTTGAGGAGCAGCAGCTGCCGCTGCTGCTGCAGCGCCAGCAGCTGCTGCAGCAGCAGCTCTCACGCAGCGAGACCCCAGCAGCCTCTCCAGGGCCATCAGCAGCAGCAGCAGCAGCAGCAGCAGCAGCAGCAATTGCAGCAGCAATATCGCCCACTGTGGAGGTGAGGCCTTGCGCAGCCAGCGGCAGCCTCAGCCCCACACAGCAGGCGGCGGTGCAGCAGCAGCTGCTACAGCTGCAGCAGCAGCAAAAGCTGCTGCAACACCAGCTGCTTGCTGTTAAAAATACACTTGACAAACTCGACCCTTTGCTGCTGTCTCGTGCTGCTCTTTCGTGCGGGGCATACGCAAGGTCAGTGCCTGCTGCTGCTGCTGCTGCTGCTGCTGCTGCTGCTGCTGCTGCTGCTGCTGCTGTTACTTCATCTCCGGTGCTGCCGCTTGCTCTGCTCTTGCTGCAGCGATGGCTTTGCTGCAGCGCTTCAAGTGCTGCAGCAGCTGCTCTCTTGCTGCTGCTGCCAAACCTTTTGTGTCTTAGTCCGCGTTACTATGAGATACAAAACGTTCCTATCACTGCTGCTGCTGCTGCTGCTGCAGGGCCCTATGTTTTGTCGAGCAGCATATTGCTCGTGACTTGCTGCCCCTGGAAGAACTGCAGCGGCGGGTGTGGGGCGCAGCAGCAGCAACTGCAGCAACTGCAGCAACTGCAACGAGTGCAGCAGCAGGTAACGACGACAGCTGCGCTGCCCTTGTCTCAACTGCAAAACGCGCTTTTGCTGCTGCTTCTGTCTTGCTACCACGTGTGCTGCTGCTGCTATTGCTGCTGCTGCTGCTTGCCTGCTTCTGCTCGACGGCCTTTCGGCGGCGCTTGAGCTGCAGCAAGTGGTCCTGCTGTGCTGCTGCTGCTGCTGCAGCTGACAGCAGCTGCGACGAGGCCGTAGTGCAGCTGCTGCTGCAGTCTTATAGAGGCCTCAAGGCTCGGGAGCTGCTGCTTGCTGCAGTAGAACGGAGCCGGTTAGCTGGAGTGTACAGACACCGCGCTACGTCTCTTCCTGCAGCAGCAGCAGCAGCAGCAGCGTCAGGCGATGCGACGGGTGAGAGGCTGCCTGAGGCCGAAAGGCAGCAGCTGCAGCAGCAGGCTGTGCTGCAGCAGCTGCAGCAGCAGCTGCAGCGGCAGCAGCAAAGAGTCCACATGGACGGCTTTGCCCTGGAGCTCCGCAGCAAATGGCGGCAAGCAGCAGCAGCATACTGCAGCCGGTGAGTCTCTGTGTCACTTTTTTGTTTTTTGCTACTTCCTTGTCTCCTTTATTTGACCCCCACGTGCTGCTGCTGTTGCTGTTGCTGCTGCTGGTGCCTTCTGTGCCCTGCAGCCTCCTTCAAATGCACAGCAGCAGCAGCAGCAGCAGCAGCAGCAACAGGGGGTGCAGCGAGCTGCTGGCGTTCTGCAGCGCTGCGCTTTTGAAAGCATCTAGCCCATCCTCTCCTGCGGCAGTACAAGCAGCAGCAGCAGCAGCAGCAACAGCAGCAGACGCAGCAGCAGCAGCAGCTGCTGCTGCTTGGTGTGGCCTTTTTCGATGCCTGCGCAAAGGCGGCGGCGGTATCGCCTTTTGGCCCGGACCTCGTGAGGTGCTGCAGCAGCTGCAGCAGCAGCAGCTGCAGCAGCTGCTGCTGCTTCTGCCTCTTCCCCTGCCGGTTCCCCTCAAGCAAGAGAAGCAGCACCAAGAGCAGCAGCAGCAGCTGCAGCAACAGCAGATGCAGCAGCTCATACAAAAATTTAGAGACGACTTGTGTCATGCTGCTGCTGCAGCAGGAGGGGCTTGGCAGTGGCAGCAGCGGCAAGAGCAGCAGCGGCTGCTGGACAGAACTGCTGCGGCTGCTGCTGCTGTTGCGTCTTCTGCTGCTGGTTTGTTGGATGCTGACAGCTTGCCAGCAGCAGCAGCAGCAACTGCGGCAGCAACTGCAGCAGCAACAGCAACAGCAGCAGATCTGCAGCGCCAGAGAGGGTTGTGGGCAGAAGCAGCAGCAGCTTGCTGCAGCCTCAGCAATTGGGACGCTTTGCCAGAGCTGCTGCAGTCTGCTGCTGCTGCTGCTGCAGCTTCCGCTTCTCCGGCTGCAACATGTGCTCTCCCTGCTGCTGCCGCTGCTGCAGCGTCAACAGAAACAGCAGCAGCAGCAGCAGAACCGATCGATTCTTGCATGGCGCTGCTGCCGCAAGCAGAGATAACGGAGAGCAGCTTTTTGCTGCAGCATTCGCGGCTGCTGCTGCTGCTGCGGGGCGTGGTGCAGCAGCAGCAGCTGCAGCAGCAGCACCACAAATGCGCCAGCTGCTTCCTCAATTCCGTGCTGCAGGAAGCAACTCTGGAAACCCTCTGGCAGCTAACAGCAGCACTAAAAGATTCCTTCAGCAGAGCTGCTGCCTATCTTTCCCACTTGCACATCTACGCAGACTTTGAGGTGCTGCTGCTGCTGCTGCTGCTGCGGTCTTCTGTTGCTGCTTTGGCTGCAGTCATTGCCTATTTTGTCGCTGCCTTACTCTCCTTGCCTTTTGCTGCAGCTGCAGCTGCTGCTGCTGCCCCAACTGCTGCTGCTGGTACAACTACTGCTGCTGCTTCTGCTGCTGCTGCTGCTTCTGTTCAATGTGCAGCTCATCTGCAGCCGCGTGGGCATCTCTCTGTGGCCAGGAGCCACTGACACGTATGGTTGCAGCAGCAGCAGCAGCAACAGCAACAGCAGCAGCAGCAGCAGCGAGTGCTGCAGCAAGTGCGGCCTGCGCTCATCATGGGAGCCTCTGCCTGTGGGGGCCCAGTGCTCTCTTGCTGCTTTGCTGGTTGACCGGGCCTTGCCAAGTGCAGCAGCAGCAGCAGCAGCAGCAGCAGCAACAGCATCAAGTGCGAGGTGCGCGGAGCAGCTGGCAGCAGCAAAACTGGCGCTGGAGGCGCTGCAGCAGCCAGTTGCTGCTGCTGCTGTTGCACTCGCGCTGCACCGCCTCCGCTGCAGCACTTCGACGCCAGGGGAAGTGCGGGTCTCTCACTTCAGGCAAGTTGAGGCTTTCCTGCAGCAGCAGCAGCAGCAGCAGCAGCTGGAGTGGCAGCAGCAGCTGCTGGATCGGCTTGGAATTGATATGCGACTCGCCTTTGCGAAACAGCTTATGAGAAAGGTGGGGCTGCTGCTGCTGGTTCGTTCCTCTCTCATAATCTAGGGTTTAGGGTTTAGGATTTAGTGTTTGGGGTTTAGGGTTTAGGGTTTAGAGTTCATGTTGCCGCTGTTTTGGCTACTCCCCTTGTTTGCTGTCCCTCTTGCCTTCTCCTCTGCAGCAGCAGCCATTATGGTGTTGTTTCCTTTTGCTGCTGCTGCTGCTGCTGTTGCTGCTGCTTTTGCTGCTGCTGCTGCTGCTGCTGCAGGGGAAGCAGCGAAGCTGCCTGTCTCTTTTAAGTTCTCTTTCTCCAGTTTCCTTCACTGCCAGTTTGGCGCTGCTGCACCTCCGAGCGCAGCAGCTGCTGCTGCCGCCGCAGCAGCTGCTGCAGCAGTTTGAGCAGGTGAGATGCAGCAGCAGCACAAGAAGCAGCAGCAGCAGGTGGCACTGCTGCAGCAGCAGCAGCCTCAAGCTTTTTTCCCTGTTCTGCTGCGTCTCGTGCTACTGCTGCTGCTGCTGCTGCTGCCACTACTGCTGCTGCTGCGTCTCTGCGATGCGCTGCAGCTGGAACGGGAGCAGCGCATACAGCAGCAGCAGCAGCAGCAGCGGCAGCAGCATCACGTGCTGCAGCAGCAAGACAATGTGCAACAAGATCTTTTCTTTTGCTTTGCGTCCTTTGTGGACACCCTGATTGAAGAAGCACTGCAGCGCGACGCCCATTTGCTGTTGCCGCAGCAGCAGCAGCCGCAGCAGCGCAACAGCAGCAGCAGCAGTGGAGACGCCTTCTTTGCCTACCCGCTGCCATCGGGAAGGCGCAAGACCAGCAAGCAGCAGCAGCTGCTGCAACAGCAGCAGCAGCAGCAGGGAGGCTGCCGGCCAACAGCCAAGGACAAGGAAGGTGGGCCATCTCCAGCAAGGTGCTGCTGCTGCTGCTGCTGCACAAGTCGTCGCTGCTGCTGCCATTGCACATGCTGTGGAGACCTAGTGTACATATCATATCAATTGCTGCGATAGGCTTGCTGCTGCGGCTGCTGCTGCTGCTGCAGAGTGCACTTTGTCCTTCTTGGTGTGCGAGTCTGTGAGGCTGCACTTGATAGTGCTGCAGCAGCAGCAAGAGGTTAGTCTGTACGTGCAGCAGCAGCAGCAGCAGCAGCAGCAGGTGCTGCTGCAGGGGCCAGGGCGAGAAGAAGAAGCCCCTGCTGCGAGTGTAGAGCAGGAGCACCTGCAGTGGCACGCGCAGCAGCAGCAGCAGCGGCAGCAGCAGCAGCTGCTGCTGCAGCAGCACACCAGTCTACACCGCATGCTGGCTCTTGCCTTTTCCTTCACCACCCCCAACACTTTTGTGGGGCCAAGACTTCAAATTGATGCAGCAATTGCTGCGGTGGGCTTGCTGCTGCTGCTGCTGCTGCTGCTGTTGCTGCTGCTGTTGCTGCTGCTGCTGCTGCTATCACTACTACTACTACTACTGCTGCTGCTGCTGCTGCCGCTGCTGCTGTTGTTGCTGCTGCTCGTGCTTTTTGGCGTTGGAGGTGCTGCTGCTAGTTTCGTGCTGCTGCAGTTGCTTTGATGCCGGTGCCATTGCTGCTCTCACAGCTGCTGCTGCTGCTGCCGCTCTGCCCTTGCAGGAGCAGCAGCTGCAGCAGCAGCTGCAGCAGCAGCTGCAGCAGCAGATATGTTGGCTACTGCGTGTTGGGGTGTATGTACAGCGGTTTGCGGAATTGCTGCAAGCAGTTTTTGCCGAAGAACTTCTTAAAGTCCCTCTAGCCAGATGGCACGTTGCTGCTGCTGCTGCTGTTGCTGCTGCTATTGCTGCTGCTGTTGCTGTCATTGCTGCTGCTGTTGTTGATGCTGCTGCTTTTGCTGTTGTTGTTGCTGCTGGTTGTTTCGCAGCTTCTGCGCTGTTTGAGCTTGCGTGGCCCTGCTGCTGCAGCCGCCGTTTCTGCTGCTGCTGTTTAAGTTGTCCTGTTTGCTGCTGCAGCTGCTGCAGTTGCTGCTGCTGCTGCAGTTGCCGCCGTGCTGCGTCTCCTCCCCCGAATGGCACATCCCCGCTGCGCTCCCGGCTGCTGCCGCTTCCGCTGCTGCCGCTTCCGCTGCTGCTGCTGCTGCTGCTGCTGCTGCTGCAGGTCTTCAGTTGTGGGACTTCTGAGCTCGCGCGTGCTGCACGAAGGCCTCGGGGAGAGCTGCTGCTGCTTGCTGCTGTCGCAGCTGCTGGCAGCAAAACCCCACAAGAGCTTGTGGGCTCTTTTATCTTTTTGCAATCCTGTGCATGCATGCAATTTGGAAAACTACAAAAGCAAATTTAATCAAATTGCGCAAAAAGTAATTCTTTTAAATCCGGATTTTATTTTATTTTATTTTGTTTCATTTTTTTTCATTTTATTTTGTTTGGTTTGCTTTAAAATCAATTTAAAGGCATTTAAATCAATTTAAATTAATTCAAAGAATTTGTTTGGTGTATTTAATTGTGTTCATTTATTATTTATTTTCATTTTTTAATTATTCAAACAATTAAATTTTTGTTTTTATTTATTTCATATTTTCTGAGCTGCTTTATAAACATATTTATATCTACTTATACTCTTTGCGGGATGCACTGTGCTGCTGCTGCTGCTGCTGCTGCGCTGCTGCTGCTGTTGCTGCTACTGCTGCTGGGGATGATGGTAATGATGCCTCTGCTGCTGTTCCTGCTGCTGCTGCTGCTGTTGTTGCTGCTGCTGCCACCACTACTACTACTGCTTCTGCTGCTGCTGCTGATACCACTGCTGCTCATGCTACTGCTGCTGCTGCTGCAGATACTACTACTACTCATGCTGCTGCTGTTGCTGGTGCCGATGCTACTACTACTCACGCTGCTGCTGCTGCTGATACTACTACTACTCATGCTGCTGCTACTGCTGCTGCGGGTACTACTACTACTCATGCCGCTGCTGCTGCTGCTGCTGCTGCAGGCCCTGCTGCTGCAGCGGACGGCAGCTGTGGATCCAACAGCAGCAGATTTGCGGCTGCTGCTGCCTCTGTGGGTTTTTCCCTTCCTTTAATTTTAAATTAAATTTATAAATATAAGTTCAAATTAAATTTAAATACAAGTATTTATTTATTTATTTATTTATTTATTTACTTATTTATTTATTTTGCTTCTGCGCAGCTACGAGGCAGCCTGTCGGCAGCTGCATGCAGCAGCAATGTTTGAAAAGACAGCAGCAAATTCACTCAAAATTTCCAACGCTTTCCCGCAGCTTTTCGAGTCTGCTGCTGCTGCTGTTGCTGCTGCTGCTGCTGTTGCTGCTGCTGCTGCTGTTGCTGCTGCTGCTGTTGCTGCTGTTACTGCTGCTGCTGCTGGTACTGCTGCTGCTGGTGTTACGGGTGTTTTGCTGCACATTAAATAACCAATTTCCTTTTATTTTTACTTATTTATAGATTAATTAATTAATTAATTTATTTATTTTTATTTATTTGTTTTTTCAGACTCTGCCACCCCTCAGCTGCCGCTGCTGCTCTGAGCATTCCCACAGAAAGGTTAATTAAGTTCGAAGCCCCTCTTGTCACTGTCACCTCAATTTCAGACAACATGGAGGTGCTGCTGCTGCTGCTGCTGCTCCTGTGCTGCTGCTGCTGCTGCTGTTTTACTGCTGCTCCGCTGCTGCTTAGTTGCTGCAGTTCAGCTGTTGTTTCAGTCCTGCTGCCGCTGCTGCTGCTGCTGCCGTTGCTCCCTCCCAAGACCGCCGGCAATAACCCGCGCCCCCCGCTGCCGCTGCTGCTGCTGCTGCTGCTGCTGCTGCTGCTGCTGCTGCTGCTGCTGCAGGTGCTGGCCAGCAAGCAGAAGCCGAAGCGGCTGCTGCTGTTTGGCTCGGATGGAATTGGATATTCTTTTTTGCTGAAGAATGAAAGAGCAGGAGATATTCGCAAAGACATGCGGGCCATGGAAGCAGCAGCAGAAACCAACAGGCTGCTGCAGCAAAAACACTTCACCTTCCAGGTGCTGCGCCACTGCTGCTGCTGCTGCTGCTGCTGCTGCTGGATGCGGGGGAGAAGGTGCTGCTGGTGCTGCTGCTGCAGGGGTTGCTGCTGCTGTTGCTGTGGTTGCTGCTGCTGCTGCTGCTGATGTCGCTAGCGGTGGTGTAGGTGTTGCTGGTGGTGCTGCTGCTGTTGTCGCTGCTGCTGGAGTCGGTTGGGGCTTCTGCTGCTGCTGTTCCTGTTGCTGTTGCTGCTGCTGCGGGCGTGTGGGGACGGGAGCAATGCTGCTGCTGCTGCTGTTGCTGTTGCAGTTCGTGCTGCAGTGCTCCAGCTGTAAACGTGTCTTCTGCTTCTGCCTCCGCTGCTGCTGCTGCACCCGCTGCTGCTGACCCTGCTGCTGCTGCTGCTGCTGCAGCTGTGTACGTTTCAAATAACAGTACTTTCTGAAGTAACTGCTTTAATAGAATGGCTGGAAGGAGCAAAACCCCTGAGGAATTGCTTAGCAGCAAAATATACTGTTGCGCTGCCGAACTTCAGGCAAATCAACGAGCAGGTTAGTGCCCCTGCTGCTGCTGCTGCTGCTGCTAGCTGCTGCTGCTGCTGCTGCAGGCATAGTTGCGCTGCTGCTGTTGCTGCTGCTGCTGCAGGCATATTTGGGTTGCTGCTGCTGCTGCCGCGGGTATAGTTGCGCTGCTGCTGCTACAGGGATGCTGCTGCTGCTGCAGGTGTAGTTGTGCTGCTGCTGCTGCAGGTAGTGCTGCTGCTGCTGCTGGGACGAGTGTGAAGCCCTCGTTATAGTCGAAATGCTTTTGCTGCTGCTGGTTTGTGTGCGTTTGCTGTTGCTGCTGCCGGTTGTGCAGCTGCTGCTGCAGCTGGTGGTGCTGCTGTTGCTGCTGCTGCAGCTTCCGCTCTTGCTGCTGCGTCCTTTGTCCTGCAGCATCTCTTAATAATTTATTATTTGAATTAAATTTAAATAAAATAGAATTAATTAATTTATTTTGTTTTTCTTTTAATTAATTTAATTAAAGTGCTGCAGGCGATTCCAAGCTGCGCAGGCGCAGCGCCGCTTTGCTGAATGCAAAATGATTTTAACAGATTTCATTCTTCCCGTCTTTCCCCCAGTCCTCCACAGGTTTGATGCTGCTGCTGCTGCTGCTGCTGCTGCTGTTTTTATTTGTCGTGGTTTGCTGCTACTGCTGCAGCTGCTCTCGCTTGTTGCGGTTTGCTGCTGCTGCTGCTGTATTTACTGCTGCAAACGCCTCAGTTGCTGCGCTTCTGCTGGCGTTTCTGCCTGAACTGCCACCCTAGCTCCCAGCTGCTGCTGCTGCTGCTGCTGCTGCTGCAGAGTATATTTTGACTGGTTTGGAGAAGACCCTTCCCGTTGGTTTTTGGCGCGGAGAAATTTCACAGAGACATTTGCTGCTTGGGCTGCCTTCGGCTATGTTATTGGATTAGGCGACAGGTGCTGCTGCTGCTGCTGCTGCTCGCGCTGCTTCCTTCGCTGCTGCTGCTGCGGTACTGATGCAGGCGCTGCAGCAGCTGTTGCTGCAGGCGCTGCTGCTGGTGCTGCTGATGCTGCAGGCGCTGCTGCCTCTACTGCTACGGGCAGTGGTGGTACTCCTGCTGCTGCTGAGAGTTATGGTGCTGCTGCTGCTGCTGCCGTCCTTCTGCTGTTGCTGCTGCTGCTGCTTCGAGGGTGACTTAGGGAACTTTGCTGGTACTGCCGGCTGTCTTGCTGCTGCGGCTGCTGCTGCTGCTGCGCCAGCGGCTAGCAGCCTGCAGCAAGCAGCAGCAACAGCAGCAGCAGCACTTGACGCGGGGCACTTGTCCTCACTGCATCAACTAATCAAGTCATTATTTATTATTTATTATTATTTATTTATTACTTATTTATTTATTTATTTATTTATTTATTTACTATTCAGGTTGTGCCCTTTCGCCTGACTCAAAATATCGTTGCTGCCTTTGGCGCAACAGCAACAGCAGGAGCCTTTCGTGCTGCTGCTGCTGCAGTGCTGCGTCTGCTGCGGAATAATCAGAGCCTTCTGCTCAGTTTGTTCATGGTATGCTGCTGCTGCTGCTGCTGGGTGTGCTGCTGCTGCTCCTGCTTCTAGGTGTGCGGCTGCTGCTGCTGCTTCTGGGTGTGCTGCTGCTGCTGCTGAAGATGCAGCTGCTGCCGCCTCTGAGGTATCCGCTGCTGCTGGGAGTGCTGCTGCTTCTGCTGGGGCTGCTGCTGCCGCTGTAGGGCTTTCTGCTGCTGCTGCTGCTGCTGCTGCCGCCGTGTTGACTGGTACTGCTACTGCTGGGCCTGCTGCTGGTGCTCTTGCCGTGGGTGCTGCTGCTGCTGCTGCTTTCGCTGCAGCTGCTGCTGCGGGCTCTACTGCATATTGTTTCTTGCTTGTACTGCTCCTGACGGCTGAGATGCCGCTCTGCTTTTGTTCCATTTGCTGTTGCTGCTGCTGCTGCTGCTGCTGCAGAGCTTCTTACAAGACCCGTTGATCGAGTGGCGGGCGTCTCTCTCGCGTCATCAGCAGCAGCAGCAGCAGCAGCAAGAAGCAGCAGCAGCAAAAATAGGAGAGCGAAAAGCCTATGCATGCATAGTGGCTATACAGCAGAAGCTCAGAGGGGCTGTTTCGGCCCTTCCTCCGGGGGCTTTTGAGGTATCTGCTGAGCAGCAGCAGCCGCAGCAGCAGCCGCAGCAACAGCAGCAGCAGCAACACAAGCAGCCGCAGGGAGGGCTGGGAGAGGTGGACGGGTGCAGCAGCAGCGAAGATTCGTTTGTTGAGTCGGATGATGAAGAGTTGAGTGCGCCAGGAGCAGCAGGTGCTGCTGCTGTTGCTGCTGCTGCTGCTGCAGCACAAAGCAGCAGCGGGACCCTTGGGGTGTACGCGCAGGTAGATGCTCTTATTCGAGCAGCAACATCTCCAGACAACCTCGCGCGAATGTACGTGGGGTGGCTGCCTTGGTACTAACAGCAGCAGCAGCAGCAGCAGCAGCAGCAGCAGCAGCCACTGCTGCTGCTGCTGTTTTGCTGTAAAAATAGTAGCTGCTCGAGCAGCAACATCTCCAGACAATCTCGCGCGAATGTGGGGTGGCTGCCTTGGTACTAAAAGCAGCAGCAGCAGCTGCTGCTGCAGCGGCAGCAGTTGCAGCAGCAGCAGCAGCAACAGCAGCAGTAGCCGTTACTGTTGCTGCTGCTTTTGCTGTAATAGTAGTAGCTGCTCGCGCAGCAGCAACTACTGCTGCTACTGCTGCAGTAGCAGCAACAGGTATTGTCCCAGCAGCAGCAACAGCAGCGGCTGTAACTGCAGCAGCAGCTGTTGCGCCGCGCGATGCAGCAGCACTACATGCAGCAGCAACGCAAGCAGCAGCGGCTTTGTGTTTGCTGCTGCTGCTGCTGCTGCTGCTGCTGCAGACAGTTTATTCTTTGGTTTCTGCCAGCTGCAAAAGCAGCACTTCAAACTCTCTATATAACAATGGGACGAAGACCAGAAACTTTGGAGTTTTTGGTCCAGGGCTGAGGGTTTAGGGTTTAGGGTTTAGGGTTTAGGGTTTGAGTTAGCCATGTGCAAACGACGAGATAATAGGACATCCATTCAAAAGTGGTTTATAACTGCTAGATATATACATATATATATATATTTGTATTTATATTTATATTTATATTTATATTTATATTTATATTTATATTTATATTTATATTTATATTTACATATATCTATATATAAATATAGATATATGTATATATATATACGCATCGTATATGTGCAAATATACCCAAATGTATGAGTGTATATTTGCACATAATATAGATATTACATATATAAGTATGTGTAAGTGTATAAATGTATATATATATATATATATATATGTATATATATCAATATATTTGTATATATATATATATATATATATATATATATTTGTATATCTATGTGCAAATGTGCAAGAAGAACTATGTGAAGAAATGAAGGCAAAATAGGCGGCGCTGTGTTATTCTGTCTGGGTGAAGTAAGTTGAAGATAAATTTGTGAATTAATTTAAAATAAATACAAAAGAAAGAAACGAAATAAAGGATTCGGTTCGTTGAAATGGGCACAGCAGCACGGTGTATGTACACCCCACGACCCGGCTGTTGCGAGGCAGCTCTCGTTGGAGCAAAACGGAAAACGAAATAAAATAAAATTTAAATTCAATTTAAATTTAATTTAATTATTCCTTTTAAATATTTAATTTAATTGTTCTTCAGCTGGAGTTACTGCCAGCAGATCTTCAATTCCCCTTGGGGCTGGTCGGGTGTGGTTATGCATGCAGCGCTTTCCCCTGCGCATCCAGCGAAACCCTGGCTAAAAAAAAAGCCAAGAAGACTTAAAGCATTTTAATGAATAAAAACATTTAAATTAATAAAAGGGAGAAACAAAAAAGTGTTTTGAGCGGTTAATATTTGTTCTTTCGCGCCGCTTGCGGCCGCGGTTCCGCCGTGGGCGCTGAGGTGTCTGTACAGGTTTCGGGTGTACCTGGGTCGTTTTTTTTCGTTTTTTCGCGCGCCAGATGATTTGAAGTATTTTATTTTGCAAATGGGGGGCCCCGAGGCGCTGGAAGTGCTCGCGGTGCACACAGTTGGCGTCTGCAGATGGAAAGAAGTCCCCGAAGACCTCCACTGCGTCATCTGCGATAACCCTTTTGAACTCCCCTGCGCCGCCTGCGACACTCCGGGCGACGAGTGCCCCCCGGCCTTCGGGGCCTGCGGCCACATTTTCCACCTGCACTGCATTGGTGAGAAGTGGCTCCAAATGGAGTTCAATTTAGCGCAATTCCGCCATTTTTGAAGCATTTAAAGGCCCCTTCCCACTTTATTTCAACTCCAGTTCACTCCGTCTCCAATTTAAACTTCAAATCGCTTTTTTGCGGGCCAAATTGACCCCAAAATGGTCTTTTTCTGAATTCGAATTCAAATGCATCTTTTGATTTTAATTTCAGTTTTAGTTCTAGTTTGAAGCGACCTTTTCTTTCTCTTGTTTTTAAATTCAAATTTAAATTTAAATTATGTTCTCTTCAAGTTTGGATATTAATGGCCTTCCTTTGCTGCTCTCTCAGATGCCTGCAGCAGCAGCAGGAGCAGCAGCAACTATTACAAGAGTTTGTCTTTCAAAACTCTTTCTGGTTTCTGTTCTTCTTTTGAATAAAGGCAAATTAAAATTATAAATGGAAGTAAACAACTTAAAAAAGATAAATGGAAAAGAATTAAATTGAAAACAAATTGAAATGCAAACAAATTATGTTTTGAATTGATTGAGCTGCTGCTGCAGCTGCTGCTGCTGCTGCAGCTGCTGAGAAGCAAAATGTCCTTGTCTTTGCTCAATTCAGCAAATAAAAGTGTCTTCATTTCAATTTACAAACTGCGCTGTTTGCTGCTGCTTGCTGCTGCTGCCGTTTGCTGCTGCTGCTGTTTGCTGCTGCTGCTGTTTGCTGCTGCTGCTGTTTGCTGCTGCTGCTGTTTGCTGCTGCTGCTGCTGCTGCAGCTGCGTGGCTGGGGGGCAGGGGCCTGCGTGGAGCAGCACAAGACACTTGCCCGATGTGTCGGCAGCTGTGGCGTTTTGCTGCTCAGCAGCAGCACTTGTCGCTGAGGGAAGATGAAAAAGGAAGAAATTTAGAAGAAAATGATCTGCAAATTGATTTAAATGAATTAAATCCCGAAGATCTGCAAACGGACGACGAGCGCGCGGGCGACGAGGTGTACGTACACCCCAGCCTGCACGCCTGAAGGCGGAAAGCGGAAATTTCAACTTTTTCGTCTTTTTTTAATTTCTGCTTTTTTGGCGAAATGAATTAATTAATTAATTAAAAATCTTTAAATAAATCCATTTTTGACTCCAGAATTCGAAACTTTTTGCAAAATTCGTTTCAAAATTCAAATTCAGATAACTCCAACTCAAGACCGGATTCTTACTTCAGGAATAGACAGCAAATTCGAAAACTCTTTTAAATTGATTAAATTAATTAAACTAATTATTTTAATTAAATTAAATTAATTAATCATTTTAATTTTAGTTTTAATTTCAAATTTACATTTCAAATTCAAAACCCTCCAAATCGAAAAGTGGAATCTTTTTTCTGAAGTCAAAAGATGAACTGCAAACGACTTCGCCCCAATTGAATGAATCAAATAAACCAAATTAAATTAAATTGAATCAATTAAATTAAATTAAATAATTTAAATCAAATTAATTAAATTATTAAAATTAAATTAGATTTTATTTATTTATTTATTTAAATTAGTTTCTATTTCGTACCTTCGAGTGTCAACGGCAAAGCTCTGGCGGCGGCGGCGACTCTGGGATCTTCCCGGGCTGAAAAATAAAAAATAAAATGAAATTAATTAAACTAATTAATTAAATTAAATAAATTAAATAAATTAAATTAATTAAATTAGTTAAATTAAAAGTTAAATTAAATTTGATTTAAAATGAATTAAAATAAATCCAGGGGAAGGGCAGCAAACCTCAAATGCTGCGCTGCGAAATGCCGCCAGCTCTGCTTCTCGTGCTGCTGCTGCTGCTGCTGCTGCATCTGTTGTTCCTGCTGCTGTTGCTGCTGCTGCATCTGTTCCTGCTGCTGCATCTGTTCCTGCTGGTGCTGTTGCTGCTGCTGGGGCTCCAAAGAAGGCTGCAGCGGGGGCAGCAGCAGGGGCACCTGGGGTTGCAGCTGGCCCCGCGGCGAGCTGCTGCTGCTGCTGTTGCTGCTGCTGCTGCTGTTGCTGCTGCTGCTGCACAACAGCAGCAGCAGCAGCAGGCGGCGCTGCAGCAGGAGGCGTTTCGTAAAGAGGATCAGCAGCAAAAGGAAGTCCTTCTGCTGCTGCTTTCTCTTTAACTTTTAAATAAAATGCGCGCTGACACAAATAAAGCTGTTCGCTGCAGCACACACACAAAACTGCTGCTGCTGCTGCTGCAGCTGCTGCTGCTGCTGCTGAGGTGGATGTGGTGCGGCCGCTGCAGCAGCAGCAGCGGCCGCCCAAACCCTAAACCCTAAATCAGGGTTTTGTCTGCGGCCTGTTCTACGGCGACAGCAGCTTCGCTGCAGCCCTTCTGTAACCGCAGAAGAAGCCAGCCTTTATTAAAAGCGAATTAATTAATTTAATTAATTTAATTTATGTATTAATTTTAATTAAATTAAAATGATTAATTAATTAATTCGCTGCGGCTGCTTCGTTTGCTCTCGCGCTAACAACAGCCAGAAACTCAAGTCCCGAGTGCCGGCCACAAGTTTCGCGCCAAACCCTAAACCCTAAACCCTAAACCCTCGGTGAGGGGCTAGGGTTTGTTGAATTATTACGATTTTAATTCATTTGCTGCTGAATTAAGTGCAGCGCGAGTAAACTGCTGCGGCAGCGGTGCAGCAGCTGCGTCAGCCCTGAGCACGCGCGGCCAACGCCAAACCCTAAACCCTCAATTAGGGTTTAGGGTTTGGCGCGGCGTCAGTTTCGCGCGACAAGGCAGCGGCGGCATCACTTCAAGAAGCTCCGCTTGGCTTTTGCTCGCGCCCAAACCCGAACCCCAAACCCTAGCCCCAAACCCTAAACCCCAAACCCTAAACCCTAAACCCTCACTTGAGCTGCTGCAGCAGCTGCTGCTGCTGCTGAGGGTTTCGTTGGTAAAACTCCCATCGCAAATTATCATTCGTCAAAACCAAACCCTCGTAAACAGGCCCGGGCGCCGGCCCCGCGGTGGTGCCTACACACAAACCCTAAACCCTAAACCCTAAACCCTAAACCCCAAACCCCAAACCCTAAACCCTAAACCCCAAACCCCAAACCCTAAACCCTAATCCCTCAGTCTCTAGGCCCGCGCTCGTCCCCAGCTGCCTGCTGAGCGTTCGGTAGCCTTGCAGCCTCCTCAGCAGCTCCCCAAACCCCAAACCCTAAACTCCAAACCCCAAACCCTAAACCCTAAACCCTAAACCCTCACTTGTGAAGGGCCAGCAGCCGCTCTTCTTGGCGGTTTGCAAGTGCTTCCAAGTCTCTACATAAATTCTGCCTTCTGTGTAGCCCTCAGTTTTAGTTTCTTTTTGAACAGCCATGGGGCCCGCTCCATCTGCTGCTGCTGCTGCTGTTGCTGCTGCTGCAGCAAAGGGAGCAGCAGCAGCAGCAGCAAGTGGCTGCCCAAAAGGGTTTGCTGCGGGCGCACCAAAACCGCCGCCGCTGCTGCTGCCAAAACCTATGCCAAAGGGAGCAGCAGCAGCAGGTGCAGCAGCAGCAGCCACAGAAGACCCCCAAAGCAGCGGCTGCTGCTGCTGCTGCTGCTGCTGCTGCTGCAGGAAGGGGGAAGCAGAGAGCTGCGCAGGGGGCGCCGAAGGCGCAAAGGGAGAAGGAGTTATCAGGGGCTGCCGATTCATCTCCTAAACCCTAAACTCTAAACCCTAAACCCTAAACCCTAAACCCTAAGCCGAAAGACAGGCTCTCCGGGGTCCATCTTGGATGACGAGAGAACCCCTCCACCGTAAACCCCAACCTCTAAAACTTAAGCCCTAAACCCTAAACCCTAAACCCTAAACCCTAGACCGGTTTTCGCCCCTCGCCGCTGCCAATGCGTGGCTCGAGGCAGGCCACGACGGTTTAGGGTTTAGGGTTTAGGGTTTGCAGCAATCAGTGGAGCTTTAAAAGACAACAAACAAAACGGTATTTCACAATTTCAAAAGTCTTACATCCAGAAATTAGGAGTAAGGGTTTAGGGTTTAGGGTTTACGGTTCAGGGTTTAGGGTTTGACGGCCTGCGTCCAGCCCCACAGCGCATGCAACACCCTTCGCCTAAGCACTGAGGGTTTAGGGTTTAGGGTTTAGGGTTTAGAGTCTAAAGAAAGATTGTTAAAAATTGTAAGAGAGGATTCAGGGTGTACTTCTTCTGAGCCAGCTTTGCATTTGCAGAAGCTAGGGTTTAGGGTCTAGGGTTTAGGGTTTAGGGTTTAGCAGCAGTGAGTGCGCTTCACTTTAAAGGCAAATTACTCTGAAGAAGCATCGTATCTAAACCCTGATTCTCTGTAAAAGTCAGCTAGTTGTGGCTAGCTAGCTGTGGCTAGCTAGCTGTGGCTAGCTAGCTGTGGCTAGCTAGCTGTGGCTGGCTCGCTGCAGCTCGCCAGCTAGCCGCAGCTAGCTAGCCGCAGCTAGTTAGGCCAGCTAGCTGTGGTTGGCTAGCCAGCGAGCTATCCCTGGCTAGCTGTGGCTAGCTAGCTGTGGCTAGCTAGCTGTGGCTAGCTAGCTGGGGATGGTTAACTGTGGTCAGCCCCCAGTCGGGCCAGCTAGCCTAGCTAGCTAGCTGCAGCTAGCTGACTGGATTCATTTGCTTTGGCTAGCTAGCTGTGGCTAGTTCGCTGCACAGCTAGCTCACGCCAGCTAGCCGTGGCTAGCTAGCTGTGGCTAGCAGTGGCTAGTTATGTCTAGCTAGCTATGGCTAGCTAGCAATGGCTAGTTAGCTGTGGCTAGCTGGCTTTATCTCCCTAGCTGTAGCTAGCTAGCTGTGGCTATCTGGCCGTGGCTAGCTAGCCCCGGCTAGCTAGCTGCGGCTCGCTTGCCATGGTTAGCTAGCTAGCTATTCCTAGCCAGCTGTGGCTAGCTAGCTGTGGCTAGCTAGCTGTGGCTAGCCAGATGTGGCTAGCTAGCCGTGGCTAGCTAGTTGTGGCTAGCTAGCTATGACTATCTGTTTACCTTGGAGTGTGGGATTGCAGCAAAGGGTTTAGGGTTTCAAGTCTAGGGTTCAGGAGTTAGGGTTTAGGGTTTAGGGTTTCAGCATTACAGCAAACATTTAGGGTTTAGAGTCTCCTTTTAGGGTTTAGGTTTTAGAGCCTAATGTTTAGGGTTTTGGAGTACGGTTTGGATGCTCGCTACGCTGTGGGGTCACCCACACAGTGCTGGTCTCCAAACCCTAAACCCTAAACCCTAAACCCTAAACCCTAAATCCTAAACCGTAAACCCTAGACCCAAAACTATGGACCCTCGGAGACAGCAAAAAAGAAGATGAAGGCCTTTTACGGCGTTTAGTCAGTTGTAGTGGCGTTGGCCAGACTAAACCCTAAACCCTAAATCGTGGTTTAGGTAAACCCTAAACCCTAAATCGCGGTTTAGGGTTTCGGCGGTGGCAACTGAAGAACCAAGAAGCTTCAAAACCTTTAACCGCAACCAAGCAACTGACGGCCTCGGATGCAAAGCGAGGGTTTAGGGTTTAGGGTTTAGGGTTCAGGGTTTGTGACAGCCAAGGATGCTCAAGCACCTCCGAGAGCCGCAGCCGCTCGCAAGGGTTTGGCGCAACCATACCCCTGCAAATTCACAAACCCTAAACCCCTAACCCTAAACCCTAAACCCTAAACCCTAAAGCAGAAGGAAGGCTTTTGGCTGTTCTTGTGGCTTCAGCTTTGGCGCTTTAAGGGTCGTCATTTAGGGTTTAGGGTTTGTGGCAACGCAGCAGCAAGGGACTAGGCCAAAGCTAGGGTTTAGGGTTTAGGGTTTATAGGGTTTAGGGTTTACCAGAGGAGGTCTGCAGCTGCCTCAGAAGGCTGAACAAAAGAAAAGGGTTTAGGGTTTAGTTCTTCACCAGCAATTAATGACGAAAAAAATAAACCTTCAGCCTCCCTGAGCACAAACCCTAAACCCTAAACCCTAAACCCTAAACCCTCGGGCGAAGAGAAGAAAGGCGAAGGGGAGTTACAATCTGTCCTAATTAGTCTCAAATTCAATTACAGCAGCACAACAATCAGACGCGCATTCAAACAGAAGAGCTGTTGCGGCTGCTGCTTTTGCTGCTGCTGCTGCTGCCGTTGCCGCTGCTGCCGTTGCTGCTGCTGCCGTTGCTGCTGCTGCTGCTTGCGCTGCGTGGAGAAGTAGCGGCTAGCCAACAAGGCAGCAATCGCCAAACAATAAAGCATAACAAATCTATTTATTTATTTATTTATTTATTTATTTATTTATTTATTTATTTATTTATTTATTTATTTATTTGCTGCAGTTACCTCCAGCTTGCTGCTGCAGTTGGCCTTATGTAAGGATGCTGCCCCGTGAGCAGCAGCGAAAGGAAACAGCCCAAACCATAAACATCTTTTGCTGCTCCTTCCAAAGGCTCTTCATTCTCCAGATCAGCAGCAGCAGCAGCAGCAGCAGCAGCCGCAGCAGCGGGAGCAGCTGCAGCAGCAGCGGGAGCAGGAGCGGCAGAAGCAGCAGCAGCGGGAGCAGCAGCAGCGGCAGCAGCAGCAGCAGCAGCAGGGGGAGGAGCAGCAGGTGGGAGAGGAGGAGCGGTGGCAGCAGGAGCTTCTGCTGCCACCGCTGCAGCAGCCGGTAACTGATTGGCATTTGCTGCTGCCGCGTCGCTGCTGCTCCTGCTGCCGCTACTGCAGCTGCCGCTGCTGCTGCTGCTGCTGCTGCTGCTGCTATAGGGTTCTTGTTTTTCGTTTTTGGTTTTTTCTTTTTTGTATTTTGGATTTATTTCTTCTGGAGGAATAATTATTTTAGAAGAACCTAATAAGGCAAAAGAGCGAAACTTAATTTTAATTTTAACTTCTTTTTAATTTAATTTAACCTTATTTAATCTCTCACTGAACTTCAATTTCATTTTGTTCATTTATTTATTTTCATTTATTTTTTATTTCTTTTAATTTAAATCATTTTCGTTCTGTTTTGTTTTATTTTGTTTTTACTGATTTCCTTTACAATAACTTATTTAATATGTTTAATTAATTAATTAATTAAACAAAAATAAAATATAAAGAAAAAAAATAAATAAATGATAATTAATTAATTAGTTAATTAATTAATTAATTAATCAATTAATTAATTAATTAATTAAATGGGTAAAAAAATAAATAAAAAACAAAAAACCCAAAGGTTCAAATTAAAGGCCACAAGGCAAAAATCCAAATAATGAAACCAAACAAAACAAATAAACAAACTAAATAGACCGTTTATTCATTCATTTATTTATTTATTTTAGCTATTTAATTAATTATTTATTATTTAATTATTTGTTATTTATTTATTTATTTATTTATTTATTTATTTATTTATTTATTTATTTTACCTCCCGGCAAAACTTTTTCTCTGTCACCTTTTTGGGCGCTGTCGAAATCCAAAAGAGAAGCCAAAAGCAAACAGCCGCAGCTGCAGCAAATAATAAATGAATAAATAAATAAATAAATAAATTCAATTAATTAATTTAATTGATTCATTAATTAACCTTAGATAATAAATAAATAATAATAATAAAGAGTTTATGCAGGGAAAGAAGTGCTGCTTAATTCGTCAAATCGGCGGAAAGAGAAAAATAAAAAAAAGAAGAATTTGAAAATAAAAAATAAATAAATAAATAAATAAATAAATAAAAATAAAGAAACATTTGATTTTAATTTTAAATTAATATATAAAAGACAGTCGGGAACAGCCTAGTGTCACTGTTGAAGCCAAATACGCTGCTGCTGTTGCTACTGTTGCTGTTGCTGTTGCTGTTGCTGTTGCTGCTGCTGTTGCTGTTTCTGTTGCTGCTGCTGCTGCTGTTGCTGCTGCTGCTTCTGCTGCTTTACCTGCATCTCATGCCTTGGGGTGTATCGACACCTCCCAGTTCGGCTGCCTCATCTGGAGACACAGAAGGCAACTCTACTTTCAGTTTTTTGCTGCTGTTGCTGCTGCTGCTGCTGCTATTGTTGCTGCTGTTGTTGCTGCTGCTGTTGGTGCTGCTGCTGCTGTTCTCGCTGTTCGTGCTGTTCTCCTTCTTGCTGCTGCTTCTGCTGCTGCTGGTGCTACTGTCGCTGCCTTTGCTGCTGCTGTTGCGGCAATCCTCAGTGCTGCTGTGGCAACAACAACAACAGCTGCTGCTGCTGCTGCTGCTGCTGTTGCTGCTGCTGCTTAGGGGTCTCAGCATTTGGCAGCAAAGATTAGAAGCTGCAACATTTTCTGCTTTTATATCCAAATGATAAATGCCCAATGAGTGCATTTTCGAAACGGCGCGAGCAATCTGCACATCCAAACCCTAAACCCTAAACCCTAAACCCTAAATCCTACGATCAGGAGAAATATTAGTCACGGTGACAAGGGCAGTTGGAAACCTTCGCATAAAAGCCGCAAAGGTTTGTCTTCAGACTTAGGGTTTAGGGTTTAGGGCTAGAGTTTTCGAATTGAGTCACACATTAGGGTTTAGGGCTTAGGGTTTAGGGTTTGGAAACCTGGAGAAAGACAATGCGGGCGGCTTCTTCAGTACAAACAAAGCACTCCTTTGTCTCCTGGCCTAAACACAAATCCCAAGCCCTAAACCCTGAACCCTAAACCCTAAACCCTAAACCCTAATCTCGCTAGTTCCGCTCCCCACACTGGTGCTAGTGGCCGCAGCAAGGCAGAAAATTCGACGCTTCGATATCGCACTTAGGGTTTAGGGTTTAGGGTTTAGGGTTTAGGGTTTAGGGTTTAGGGTTTACCGTGAGGAGGGTTTGCAGAGTAAACCTCCGCAGCATCTTCAATTTGTCTTCGACGCAAAAGTTGAAAACCCCTCGAGGGAAAGATGAACTGGACGTAGCTCGGGTGTCTGTACACCTGAAACGCATGCAGCAGCAGCAGCAGCAGCAGCGACGGCAGCAACCAGCAGCAGCAGCAGCAGCGGCGGCCAAGCAGCAGCAGCAGCAGCAACGGCGGCGAGTAGCGACAGCAGCAAGCAGCAGCAGCAGCAGAAAGCAGCCACGGCAGCAAGCAACAGCAAGCAACAGCAGCGAACAGCAAAAGCAGCAGCAGCAAGCAGCCGCAACAGCAAGCAACAGCAGCAGCAGCAAATCGAGCAAAGCCAGATCGTATAAAGACTTGCAGCTCTGGGCAGGACTGCAAGGGTTTAGGGTTTAGGGTTTAGGGTTTAGGGTTTAGGGTTTACTTGAAGAAGCGGGCAAATATTTGGATGTTTAACTTGCGCATAAAACTCCTCGATCTCCTTCAGCTGTACATACACCCCGCAAGCAGCAGCAAGCCGCTAGGGTTTAGGGTTTAGGGTTTGGGGTTTAGGACTTGAGGGCTCAGAAGTAGCAAACAAAATAAAGGAGATTTAGGGTTGAGGGTTTAGGATTTACGGTTTAGGTACGCAGCCCCAGGTCCTGAGCAGCTACGCAGATAACGCACATTTAACTCTAAACCCTAAACCCTAAACCCTAAACCCTAAACCCTAAGAAGCAGAAAGACAAACCCTTTCTTTCAAAGTAAACCTCCCTGGAGACAGCCGCAAACCCCACAACTCCGAATCCAGCTTGGTGTAGGTCTGAGGTGCACAGAAACCCTAAACCCTAAACCCTAAGCCCTAAACCCTAAACCCTAAACCCTATCAACTGAAACACATGATTTCAAGACGCTGAGCAAACGAGAGTTTCTTATTCGTTAACAGAAGCAAAGGGTTTAGGGTTTAGGGTGTAGGGTTTGTACCTTGACGAACAGAACGAATGAGGGTTTAAATATACTTAGGGCTAGGGTTTAGGGTTTAGAGTTTAGGGTTTGGACCTTGCCAAAAGCAACAAAAGGGGGTTTATGTATGTCTACGGCTAGGGTTTAGGGTTTAGGGTTTAGGGTTTGGACCTTGACGAAAACAACAAAAGGGGGTTTAGAGATTTTCCACTTTTCGACTTTTTTGAAATTTTGTTTGCAGATAACTGCGAGGCGGCAGCCAGCCAGTTTTGGGGCTTCTTCTGCATGCAAATAAATAAATAAATAAATAAATAAATAAATAAATAAATAAATAAATAAATAAATAAATAAATAAATAATATATTTATTTATTTATCTATTGGAAATGCCTTAGGGCGTTAGTTTGCTGGTCGTTTTGTGGGGGCGGGAAGTGGCGCAGCAGCAGCAGCAGCAGCAGCAGCAGCAGCGGCTGTAGGTGTAGCAGATGACTTCCTCCTGCTGCTGCTGCTGCTGTTATTTATGTGCTGCTGCATTTACCTGTCATTGTGGTACGCAGCGAAGGCGCCGCAGCAACACCTGCTGCAGCAGCAGCAGCTGCTGCTGCTGAACCAGCACAGCAACTGCTGCAGCAGCAGCTGTTGTTGCTGCAGCGGCAAATGCAGCAGCTCCTGCAGCAAGAGCTGCAGCAAGTGCCAGTCCAAGCTGGGGCTGCTTGTGCTGCACACCCCGGCTTTTCTGCTGCTGCTACTGCTGCAGCAGCTTCCTTTGCTGCCGTTCCTTTTATACCCCGCTTTTGCTGCTGGTCTTGGGGTCGCTGCTGCTGCTGCTGCCGCTGCTGCTGCTGCTCTTGCAGCTGCTAGTTGTTGCAGCTGCTGTTGTTGATGTGGCAGTCGCTTCGCTGTAGCCGCTTGTGTGTTGCTGCTGTGCCCGCCTTGTTGTTGGCGCTGCAGCTGCTGCTGCCGTTTCTGCTGCAGCAGCAGCAGCAGGCGCTGCTGCTGCTGCTGCTGCTGCTGCAGGTTAGTCTCGGTGTGTCGGCGCTGCGTCGATGCTGCTGTCCGTGCTGCTCCTAAGATTGAACTTTTCTTTATTTCCTTCAATTTAAACTCAATTTAATTAATTTGTTTTTGCATTTAAATTCAATTTAAACAGAAAGCCAGCTTCTCTTAGCCGCTCCGCTGCAGCTGCTGCCGGGGGCCCCAGGCTGCTGCTGCAGCAGCAGCAGCAGCCGTGGGACGCAGCGGGAAGAATGGTAACAAGTTCAGCGCCATCTAAAATAATAAGTTAATTTATTTATTAGAATATTTGTTTTATTTTACATTTTATTTTTAATTCCCTTTTGCTGCTGGCCGTTTGCTCTACGGAACCCTACAGGGGGGCGGGGCCTCGCGTTGCGCTGCTGCTGCTGGTGCTGCAGTTGCTGCTGCTGCTGCTGCTGCTTGAAACTCCTGCTCACTTTGAAGCAAAGAGCAGCAGCCACAGCTCGCGCTGCAGCAGCAGCGGGGGCGAGAAAAGGGAGCGCAGCAACAGCCGCAGCCGTTCCCGCAGCAGCAGCTGCTGCAGCAGCTGCTGCTGCGGCAAAAACAGCAGCGCCAGCCGGCCAATCGAACACACCAGCAGAAGCAGCACAAGCAGGAGCTGCAGCAACAGCAGCAGCAGCAACAACAACAATAGCAGCAGCAGCAGCAACAGCAAAAACCCAGCGGGAGCAGCAGCAGCAGCAGCAGCGAAGATGGCCTTGGCCGCCTTCCGCGCAGCTTCTGCACCGAAGTCGCTGCCGGCGCTCCCCCGCCGCCCCTTCGCCGCAGCAGCAGCAGCGGCAGCGGGGAGCAGCAGCAGCGCAGCAGCAGCAGCAGCAGCAGCAGCGCGGGGACGCGCAGCAGCGCTGGGGGACCGCAGCGAAAGCCTGGTGGAGGTGGCTGTGCCGCCGCAGCCGAAGAAGTACTTCGACGCAAAAACTTTTCGAAATTTAATTCGAAAAATGAAGCAGCAAAAACTGCAGCAAGAAAGCCAGCAACTGGCACAGGCCTACGCGAGGCCGCCCCCGGGTGCGCTGCTGCTGCTGCTGCTGCAGTGCTGCTGCTGCTGCAGTGTTGCTGCTGCA